CTGCACTTCGTGCTGCGAAGGTTTTCCACCACGACCCATCCGGGGATGGTTTCTTCCTTTTCTCTGATTCGACGCGTCGGCCTCGGATTCGAGTGCATGCATGTCAGTTTCTTCGGTGCGTGCACATGCATGCGCCTTCTCCCCTGGACCGTGTGTTCACCATTCATATCGTGTGCCTCCCTCTCTCTCTCTCTCTCTCTCTCTCTCGCTCTAATTGTGGTTTTTTCGTTTCATGCATTGACGTTCATATTGATTCATGTTCATATCCCACAGTCTTTGAGTGCGGCCAACTAGAGGTGCTTGGCCATGGGCGGCGGCTCTGGCTTTGCATTGTATGTGGAGAAGGACAGGGGCGCTGGGTGGCCGAGTCACCGCAACCAGCACCACACCGCGAGGACCTCCTGCATGGAAGAAGCGATCCTTCCACGACTTTCAACTCGGAGGCTTCGCCGACAAAGCTTGACTAAGCAGAGACCGGGGTAGTTTCCAGCGCATGTTGCAGGTTCTTTCCTGCGAGACTAGCTTTATCATCGGAGATTTGGAGCCCGCACCCTGATGTGTCAAGTTTAGAGTTTCGCATCCTCCTTTGAGCTTTGGTCGGTGCCTCTACGAGGTGCTGGGCGTTTGATGATCCCACGCAGGCTGCGCAAACTTGTTTTACTGTAGTGGTTCTGTGATGTCCTGGGCTTTATATATATATATACACACACACACAACCTCACATACCCGATTTGTCCGTGTGTCTTTGCGTGTTCGGCGCAGTGAGCAGCAGCTTCCTGTCAGACGTCGTGCAGTTTCATGCAGTCCACCGGCTATCACCGGCTGTCCCGGCAAATTTCTTGAAGTTAGAATCATGCGTTTTGCATAGACATGCATAAGACTGGCCTGGTGGTGTTACACCGCGACTGGCAAGCATGTCTGTCTGCGGGATTTCGTTCCAGGAACGTTAATGGCTGAGCACCGGCGTCGGTGCTTTGGGGAGCCGCATGGGTGATGAGCCCTGCAGCGTGGGAACTCTCAAGGATGCAGCCAAAGCGCCGCATCCTTCCACTGGTTTGATCGGCTCGAAAAAAGCTGGAAGGCTGCATCAACCGTGTAATTGCATCAAACTCCGCCTTGAAATCGACTTGACAGATGTTCAAGAACCTGACCGGTGAGTTTAAGAGGAAGCCCTTCCTCAAGCTGAGAAGCTGGTTTGTCTTGCAAAATGATGAGAGCAAAAGCAAGGAACGCTTTGAGTTTCTTGCAGCATGCTAAGGCTAACATGAACATGAATGTGATGCCAACAACAAGGGTCAATCAGATGAGTGGAGGGATTGTGAATCCCTCACTTGACCCTTGGATCGAGCGTGACAGGCGGCCGGGCAAACGAAGTGGTTTAAGCGTGTAGTGAGCAGCTGTGTTTCTGATGTTGACTTGGTTATGGTTGAAGACAGCTGTCTCGAAAGAGTGCACGGGAAAGAACAACAGGCACATCCGGGTCCTGATTGGCCTAGAGTCGAAATAGCATGAAACAGCAGCCAGCCAAAACGTTCGGAATCTAGAGGCCAAAGCCATTCTGCCAGGAAAATGCATACAAGTTTAGCAGGTAAGCCGACAAGCGAGTTTAATGAGCGAGTCTCAGCAGCAAATTTGTCACATTCCGCCTGAAGATCCGCAAAATGGGGGCAAACAATTCCAACGCAACATTGCCCGCGGAGCGCTTTGCGAAAGGAGTGCCAGAAGCCTTGGACTGGACATCCTTGATGGGTGTGCTCTTCCAGCCTTCTCACAAGGCTGTTCTGTTGTACACCTCGGATCAACAAGGGCCTGGTCCTGCGCCACACCTACCGAGAAAGGAGGTCCTAGCCCTCCGCAGTGAGCATTCGGGCCCAGCACAGGAGAGGGGTCTGCTTCCGGTGGGCATGGTTTCCCAGAAGGGCAGCAAGCTGCAGCCCAACCAAGACTCTGCTTTCTATTTTCATTTTGTGGATTCAGACGGATCTCCGATATGGTGTGCCTGCGTCTTGGATGGCCATGGGCCGTTGGGTCATGAGATGTCAGCACTGGGCATGCAGTGGCTGCCTTTGCTGATCCTGAGGGAGCCACTGCTGGCGACTGACCCAGGACGTTTGATTTCTTCTGATCCGCAGACGGTGTTCACCGCAATCCAAGCGGCTTTCCAAAAGATTGGGCAGCTGATGCAGAAAGCTTCCGAAACCGGCTGGGGCCCGCGTGGTTACAGCGGCGCTACCTGCACGTTGGCCTTTTGTGCGCATGGGCTGCTGCACACTGCAAACGTGGGTGACTCGCGGATGATTCTGGGAACGCTTCCTGTGGGCGCGAGCAGGACGCAGGGAGAGTCGGGCGAGTTGAAGGCCGACTGTCGCATTCTTACGCGTGACCACAAGCCGGAAGACCCGGACGAGCGATTGCGTATCGAACAGTTGGGCGGCATTGTCGCACGCCAGAGAGTTTATTTAGACGAGTGGCCGTATGTCGGACTGAACATGTCTAGGAGCTTAGGGGATGCAAAGCTGCATGCTGTCGGCGTCTCCCACGTACCTGACGTTGCTACAGTTTTCCTGGAGAGTGCAGGGAGCCAGCAGCCGGAGAACGGCTTGAAGCAGCAGTTTTTGGTTGCTGCCTCCGACGGCGTCTGGGATTTCACCCCGTGTGACGAGGCGGCGGAGCTCGTGGGCAGAGAGCTTCAAACACTGCAGATGACGCGTGGAGGCAACCTGGATCAGGTGAGCTCCGCACTGGTCCGGCATGCGCAGAGCGCATGGGAAGCCGAATGTCCTGACTTGGATGACATTACTGTCATCGTGGTGGCCATAGAGCCGGAACCCCCGCACTTGTGAGAAAAAGAGGCGGATTTCAGGGACCTGCTGGCATGAGCCATGATCAGGCTGAAATGAACGGGCCGGTGTTTCGACACCTGCTATATCAGAACATGCAGTGTCAACGCACACACGCACATGCAGACAGACCAGACCAGACCAGACCAGACCAGACCAGACCAGACCAGACACGACACACCCACACCCACACCCACACCCACACCCACACCCACACCCACACCCACACCCACACCCACACCCACACCCACACCCACACGCACACGCACACGCACACGCACACCCACACACACACACACACACACGAGACAGAGAGACAGAGTCAGACACCCGTGGACTGCGGGTGCGCGCTCGCGCGCAGGGCACAGGGTTGGACCGCCCTGTGTCCTTTTCCCCGTCGAGAGAGAGGGAGAGAGAGAGAGAGAGAGACAGAGAGACAGAGAGACAAAGAGGCAGAGACAGACAGACAGACAAACACAAACACACAAACACACACACACACACACAGTTGCAGACCAGTCATCCTTACCTAGATGGGTGCTGTTTGAGTGCTAGCTCATTGCTCCATTTTCCTTTCATCATGTAGGTACAAACAGCTGATCAGGCTGTGCATCCACT